GTGATGTCATGTAGTGGTAGTTTTCATGTTAATGGCTACCTTTTACTTTTAGTTTAGTAAATTACACTTCCTGTATTACCACATGACATCACAAGGTGGAATGGTGTTTTCTGTTTGAGAGAAGAAGTAGCCTAAATATGCAGGATTTGTGTGTTAAATATGTGAATGAAACAAAAAACTGAAAAAGAGTTTTTGATGAAAAAACAACTGTATATTACAGATGAGAAAAAGAGGAATATAGGCTCTTTATTAGTACACATTTAATATAAGGTAAAAAAAATATAGACTTTGATATACAAAATATACAGTATGCTTAATTCTATAGTGTGGAACATTAAGGCATTAAATTTATCAGTCTCCATGGAGACAAGCAGATGATCCTCCAGGCCAAATTCCAGGCCTCTCACATTAAAAATGTTTGTTTTTCCAAGGTATTTTTGAGCAATAAAAACACCTGTAATTAAAGATAGACAAGTGTAAGGCCATATTGTGAAACCTTGGAATGAAATATAAATCTCCATGGAGACAAGCAGGCTATTTAGTGGACCTTACACTGTACATTGTGTAACCTTTCTGGTGGAGAGTCCGTCAAATGCTTTTCCCCATGGAGATGTTATTGCTCTGTCTAGAGTGTTTCACAGTAGGGTATTATACCTTTCTATCTTCATGAAGATCAAACCAGACTAGATCTGTGGAGATGCAACCCTGCTCACAGTCACAGTGCTTGTTTTTGTAGGTATTTTTGAGTAAAAAAAAAAAACACCTGTAATTTAATGAATGCAAGTTAGAGCTGTTTAATGTTATACAGTGGAATATTCCAGGCAGAGCAATGGCACAGTTATAGAAAAAAGCAGGTGACAGATCCCGAACCAAAAAGTTACATAGTGTACCTTTAATGTAAACTATAAGTTTAGAAAATAAAATGAAAAGAACACTGAGCTATTCTTTTAGCTCTTTAACTTACGTTATGTGTTTCCAGGCCCACGGGGGAGTAGGGGATACCTGGGTGAGCGTATCCATGCGTGGGACGGACAGCGTGGTCTGTCTTTTTTGTTGAACATGGAGCTAAAGGGTGGAGAGCTGCTGGTGCCCAAGGCTGGACTCTACTACATCTATGCCCAAACATACTTCAGACTGCCCTCTACTGGAGAGGCAGAAGACCACAATGGGGAGGCCAGGATGGAGGACGGGGCTGAACTGGTCCAGTATATCTACAAAAAGGTGAAATCAGTGCATTAACAAGATAATCTGCCTTTTTTTTTTTCCTGGGAGTTTCAAGGTTCTGCACACTATCTTTGCTGTTCCTAGTACTGCACGTTTCTGGATATGTGTGGTGCTTGTCTTGGGATCTGCTGTAGCCACATAATATTTATGTACCATCGAATCTTCAAAAGAGGATTCTACAAACTTCAGGGTCTAGATAAACTTTATCAAAATATCTCATGTTATGTTATAGTGTTTGGAAGAGTACTTTGAAAATGAATTTAATTACTGAATACTGAATACCCGTGTTAAAATGCATTTTGTAACTTATTCCAGAATACTGAATTTTGAAGAAAACTTTCAAGTTGCATTATATTATAGTAATAGCAACATAAGTTTAAAACAGTTTTTTTTTTTTTTGGCACTGTTTGTCATGCATTTATTCATTAATACCAATTAATTAAGGTAGGAAGAAATTCACATGTACTTACAAAACATGTACTTAAAAGCATAAATTATTTGATCAAGTACTGCAAAATAGTATTTTCAAAACTAGGGCTAGGCAATTGATACAGTTTTAATACAAACTGTGTTCAGTCATATCATATTGTCAATAAACAGCTGGCATGTGGTTTGAAAAAGAGTCAAGACTGGAGGAAGAACTTCCATTTGTATTAATGTAAATTGCACTGATTAAATGTCACTCTTGTTTATCTTCATGAAATTAATACTGAAAGCCATTTTTATTTTGTTTGTGAAGAGAAAATTTTTGATTGAATTAAAAATCGGGATTGATCCACACAATCAGGATTCTTTTTTCTTTTCTTTTTTTTCATATTGTCCAGTGCTACACAAAATTCAGGAATGCTTCCCAACCCAACCACCAGTTGGCATCTATAATTTAGGGTTTTCATTATCTTTAAGCCATGATCATCAAAATGTAAAGAAATAAAGGCTTGAAAGCTTCACTCTATGTATCATGAGTCTATATAATAAATGAATTTGACTTTCTGAAATGAGTGACAAAAATATCAAACTTTTTCATTGTGTTTTAAGATGGTTTGTATATGACTAATGTATTCTGTTCTACGGTCCACAGATGAGCTCCTACACCGTACCCATTCTCCTGATGAAGTCCTCCAGGAGCGTGTGTTGGCCCAAGGGTCAGGAGCCCGGACTGTTCTCCCTCCACCAGGCTGGGACTGCTTTCCTCCAACCAGCGGACCGCCTCTTCATCACCGTTAGCAACGCCAGCACGATGGAGATGGATGGGAGGGCCAGCTATTTTGGGGCATTTCTTGTGGGATAGAATCAAAGAAAAACAAGCCTACAAAAATATGAAAAAGCTAGCTGGACCAAGAAGCCAGGAGTTTGCTGATCCAAGAGTGGGAATGCCCAAAGGAAAGACATTTCGAAATTATGCCAAAAGGGAAATACTCAACAAGGGTTCAAGTACCATTAACATGATACAGAAGAGACCAGCTTCAAATATGGTAGAGATGTTCCAATGGGAATTTTATGATCCAAGAATGGAGAGAAAAAGAGCAAGAACAAGGGGATGGTGACCGGTTAACATGGACATTTTAACCAAGCAGCAGAAGAAAGGTTTTGAATTTCTGAATGGAAGCAAAAAAGAAAGACTTGTGGGTGTGTTTTCAAGTACAAAGAAAACATCACATAACATAATATTGACATTTATTGCAGGACAATAGATACTTATTGAATGTTAGTTGCCATGTCAGTATTGAGTTGGCTACACATAACAACTTTAAGGTGTGCTGTGTATCTTTTGTGTTTTTCAAGGCAAGAAAACACCTGAAATTGATTAAAATGCAAGATCGGTAAGTTTAAGTTCATACTGTGGAACATTACAAAAAGCTAGCCTCATGGACACAAGCAGGACCACCAGGAATGTTACATAGTGCCCCTTTAAAAGACATTTTGACTAAATATGCAAGTTTCGCTTTGTTGTGGAAAATTAGGCAATTCATGAGAAACGGGTTTTATACAAAAGAATGTGATTTTGTATAGATGTTGTACAGTGTTAAATATAATATATAGTAATTTGGATAAATACAAGTTTTTTTTTTGTTTTTACATGACACAGTTGATTTCTAATAAAAATCATTGTTGCACTGGGAAAAAACATAATTCATATCCTTGCATGCCCATCAAAAATATATATTTTAATCCCACTGGAAATTGTGTATTTTAAATATTCATAGTATAGTATATATTGTGTATTAATGTAATAACAAATATTTCCCAAACATCCCTAAAGGTTAAGATGTATCATCTCTCAGTACCTGCAAATTTACCTTCATTTGATTTGCCCCATGTTTTGATGTGGCAAAGAGGCACGGACCTTTCTTCAAATCTTCATCCCACTCTGGAATACCAAAATGGTGAACTCCCTGTTGATATTTTGAGTTGACAAAAACAACATAACGCACTGCAATAAACCAAATTAGCAACTGGTTGCATTCAGGTTAGTTAGACAAAAAGACAACAAACTGAAAAAGTAAAAAACTATCTTTTAATTCATGTCGTAATACACGTTTCCATATTATGGCAGTGAATGTTTCAGCAATAATAAGTCACTCCTTATGCAAGAGCTTTACATAAAAAAAAAAAAAATACCAAAACTCAACCAGGGTTCAAGTAATGCCCAAAAGAAAGACATTTTGAAACATAGACAACGCAGAATAGGGTTTGCTTTCTGATCTTCATACTGCTGTGTTACCCGCCCACTACTTCCTTACTGGTCAAAGATCTGTCAGTCATGGGTTTGGTCGATTTGACTGGACTAAACAAATAAAAGGTTGTAGTTTTAGCTGAGACAGTAAACAATAACATGGACAGCGACCAGCCTCATGTAGTTACAAGTGGGCGTGAAGGTGCTGTGAACATAAACAAGTTAAAAGAAATACAGTGAACCAGTTACTGAACATTTGGTATCAAAAATAGTTTGACTTGGTCTCATATCATCAGTTGGGACTCTACAGGTGATAGGTAAATGCACGCACAAAGAGGGTATATTATATCTTGTCAATAACAACCTATGGCTTTAGTTTATCTAAACACACAATCATGTACAATCCTCATTATAATATAGAAGACAATACTGTAAACAACGTGTGTGCACAAGGGCTGGGGGGGCTCCTTGTTTGGTGCTCCTATTGCTATGGTAACCGATAGTGGTTTTTAGCTTGTAATTTGGCCAATCCATGAAACTAAGTGCTTACAGTCCACAATGTACCTCGCGCATTGACGATACAGTAAATGTTGTGTACAGTCGTTAAGACAAGTTCACCATTCGACAGTACTTGGATTGAGTGAAGTCAATGATATAAAAAGGCATACAGTTTTGTGTGTGGAAAAACATACGTCCATAGATTAATCACAAGATTCGTTCACAATTAACATACAGGGGATTAGTAGTATTGGTTGTCCTGATATAGCTGGAGACATACACAGAAATACTTGGAACATATAAAATGCTGTTGTGAGATTTGATGGTTGATACTTTGTTAGGCTTGTGTACATATGTGGAAAATCTAATACGGTTTCCTAATATTGCTGTGTACAGTATGGATGTCATCTATTTGAGGAAAATAAGCACCCTAAAGGTCAAAACATGGGAACCAAAGAGAGAAATGTTGAACTAGGGACAGGCAGTTACATACAGGGACACACAGGCACAAAACAGGAGGCTTTGGCACACCCATGCTAGTCTTACTACTCAGCATTTGCAACAGAAGAGCAGACAACATACAGGACAGAACCATAGCTGCCTTAGACGCCCTCCACTGGTGTGAGGAGGGTGGTGCAGGTTGACAGAATAACCAGTTCTCACATTCATTTAACAAGCTCTCCGTTTTTGTTTTTTTTGTTTGTTTTTTTTTCTTATCCTATGAGCAGCTCCAGACTGTCCTCATAGCTGGGTTCCTCTGGTGAGCTGGGGGACAGGAAGGCTGTTGGTACCGGTGATCCTGTTGCTGTGGTGACGTTGAGGAGGGTGTTGCCGCGGATGCTGGTGGTTGCCGGGTTACGGAGGGCAGCCGCTGCAGTGATGCTCGTCAGGTTTATGCCCAGAGTGAGCCGTGTCTGCTCCAGCGCCTTCTCCGGCACCGCGAACGCCTCCAGCTTCTTCTCCCCATTTGCCATGTAGGAGTTTTGACATCCGCGACATATACAGTCCAGACAGGCCTGTGGGAATATAAGCATTTGAAATGGTAGCTTCAAAATTAAACTAATCAAGTACAATTATTTCCTTAAATTAATACCACTGTACAAAATGCCATATTTTCATTCTCACCTTGCGATTTGAGTAACAGGGGCAGCGCTGCCCCCTGCAGGTGAGTACTGAGGGGTTCTGTGTGGCCCGGCCACACTTACAGCCCTTCTTCTCTACTGGTTTCTTGTAAGGAGGCCGGACCGGAGCTGTGGGGATGATGCAGCCCGACAGGAGGCGCTGCTCTTTGTTCCGGTCCTTGGATTTAGAGCCTCCGCTGCTCCGAGGCTTGGCATGGGGCTTTTTAGGGTTTGGGTCAACATGCTTCCTGGCTCCTTTACTGTGGTTCTGTACAGGTCGACTGGTTTTGGGAGGTGTCCCATTGGAGAAAGAGGAGTATGTGTGTGCAGGGACAGTTATAGAGGGCACAGAGGACTGTGTGTGCAGCAGTGTGTGTGAGGGGTTAGTATGTACATGAGAGGTGGAGCCCTGAAGGATGGAAGAGATGGGCAGGGGTTTGACCTTCTCCCTGTCACTCTCTGAACGGGAGCGTTTGCGGTTAAGGCGGATTGGTGGAGGGTCCAGGGCGGCTGTGTGTGTGTGATGAGCGGTCACTGTGTTAGTCCTGTCTGTTTGGATCTGTGTGTAGTTATGGGCTGAGTCCAGCTGAATGTACATCTGTGTGTGTGCTCGCTCTGAGCCTAAGTGTGTCCTTTCTGAATGAGGAGAGTCTCTGCCAGGCTGCAGAGGGTCCAAAGTCTGTAGGACCTCCTCCACACTGAGCAGCAGCACCTCTCCTTCCTCCAGCTCCCTGCTGCTGGCATCCCCATCCCTGAGAGAACACATGGTGCCTGTGCTTGTGGCTAGAGGAGCAGTGGTCAGACTCAGTTCCAGCCCCCCGCAACCTGCAGAGGAGACGGAGAGGGCAGTGGGGGGCTCCTCAACCAGCTCACACACCTCCAGCTCTGGGGACGAGGGGTCCAGGTCCTCCAGCAGCTCCCCGTTACACTCCTGTGGTCCATTTGAAGACGGAGGTTCTGAAGAGCTCTGAGTAGCAGACACCTCTGTGGACAGAGCTGGGGCCTCAGTTGGTGTGAGGGACTCTGGAGCAGTAGAAGACGTCTCCTCCTGCACTAAGTTTAGATCGTCTGTCTCCTCTTCCGACATTAACACCTCGTCTAACAAGGCCATGACCTCTGGAGAGCCTCCCACACTGCTGATGGACTGCAGCAGCGGCGAGTGAAGCACATACACACAGAGCTTCCTATAACACTGCACGAGCAGAGACAGCTGCTTGTTCTCCTGGAACAAAGAGTAGTCCTTACATCGATTACATGACAGTCTGACCCGCATCTTCTGGCCTTTACAGCCTGAGCAGACACTGTGCCCACAGTCCGGATATGCAGGGGAGATTGGGTCCTGGAGTAGTTTACCTGAGACAAGGACAGAAAATATCAGTAAGAGTATAGTATGAAATTGTTCAAGCGTTTGACAAAGACACATACTAATATAAGGAATTGTATACTTATATAATAAAATAAGATGGATTCAGCTTTACAGCATTTTACCATGATAAATATTTTATATATAAGGGATATAAACTGATCCTCAAATCATATCTTAAATTGCCTCTTGTGAGTAAATGAAGCTATATTGATTGATTGCGGTTAAAGTGTTTGAAGTAATTGTGTTTGTTGAGCCCCTGAAAGCACAAGCTGAGCCAGTGTTGATGTAGCACTCTTTCTGCAGAGAGAGTAAATAAAGCATGAATAGAAACACATGGCTCTGCAGCAACACAACAACAGAGGAGTCGTCTGTCCTGACATGAGCACAGATGACTGCGGTTACTATGGAGACCTGGGCGCGAGCACGATCAATCACACGCACGCCCACGGACAGTCCCGTCAATAACAGAAGAGTGCTATCAGTGCTATTACACATTATTTACCGTGCGCTGGGATCACAGTACGGACGCAGTAATAACATGCGGCACGTGCACAGTGCGCTACTCACCACAGACGAAGCAGGACAGGGACTGTCGGAAGAAGGGCAGGAGTGTGTACATGTCGGCAAAGGTGTGCGGCTGTCGTGGGTCACACTGCAGCACGGCCCGGCTGGCGGACACGTACAGAGCGGTGGCATTGAGTCCGTTCATTGCGCTCTCCTCCGCTGCTCTGGAGAAACACGGCCCGGGAAAAATCTACTCGCTGCGACTGGGAAAGGCCAACACCGAGCCCCGAAGAGGACAAGAAGCGGGAAACAACACCGAGTAGTGAAGCAGCAATCAGTCACCTGAGTGTCTCAATGCATCCATAGTATGAATAATTAATAAACACCACAACAGGCTGCGATCATAGTGAGGCGCTTTACAGTGTACAAGCACGTTCACACGGCAGGTGGCTAGCTAATGTTAGCACCACCGGTTCATTGCATTGTATCTCAATAAAGCACAAATTTAAAAGAACAATAGGTGTGGTAATAGATCGGAAATGTGTGTAGCCTTGCTTTATCAACTCACATTGCGCCCATTGACGCAGAAGTCCCAACAAAGAATTATGTGATCAAACGATTCATGATCAAAAGGTTAGCATTGCCGTGCTGTTATTAGCTTCCGACATCAGCCAAGCGTTTAAAACCAAAACTGACTTGTGGTAACATAGAATCCAAGCAGAAGTCAAAGGAGTTTCTTCTACGATGCAGTAGTGGTCGATTTACCACTATAAAAATATCCAAATGTGTTTACGGAGAAAATAGCAGAGATCCAGGCGCGCACTTCATGTAAACAAAGCTAACCAGCTAGCGTTAGCACAGCTAACTAAATTAGCAAGCAAAAATCTACGGCGAAACCGAGCCCCTGGGGTCGCTCTTAGCTGCAAATACACAAGGGATTTTCAAGATCCTGTGTGAAACTCTGCAAATGATATTCGCGATAGGATACGATTTTGTGGTCACCCGTTTAAACATAGCTAACGAGCCGTTTTCCCAAGGCATCAATCATTTGCTATTCGACTTTTTCCTCACAGCGACAAGCATGGAGATCACGCGAGATTTTCCTCTAATTGTTCATATCTTGGTCGTCGATTATCACGCGATATTTCCCCTGTAACCCATGGTTACCAATCCACGAAGGAATAGTGCAAATTGATCAATAGATGCAAAGATAAACTGTTGTTGTTGCTAATATTTTGCATACGTTAATGTGTTTCCATTGATGATAATACCAAGTGTAGTCGAGAATAACAGTAATGATGTTACTAGAATGGCTACCATGAAATTTGCTGGGAAATGTTTATTATTACATGTGTCCTTACTACATATGTGTACTGTAGTTATTACATTATAACTTTGGTGGGCTTGCTATCATTTTTACTATTTTACCATTAACGTGTCATTATTGAACTGTAGGAGTGGGTAATTCTGGTTCAGTAATCAGACCTACCTGTTATGACAATTAATATACATGTATTTATTATAATATTATGCAGGCAAGGGTGTGTTTTTCATGATTTCGCCCACCGGATACTTGAGAATTTCCCATCTCTGATTGGTTAAGATCTCCAACCCCCGCTTCTCATTGGCTGAAATCTCCTTGGAGAGTGCCTCACCCCCTGTCACTGAACACGCACAGAAAACATGGCGGCGTTCAGCGTTGCTCGGAGCAGCTGCGGAGTGCTAAATGGACTCAGGACATCGTTCAGGAGTTTGGCTCAGGTCAAACATGTTCAAACAGTCCAACAAAGCAGAGAGCAAAGGTTCTGCCGCTGGTACTCCGTCAGCCACTTGTCCGTAAAAGAGAGGATTGACAACAAACGAAAGGCAGCGCTGGTTGGCGGAGGTCAACAGAGAATTGATGCACAGCACAAAAGGGTAAATCCATCTCAATAATCACAGTGTTGTAATTTATTTTAAATGCATACAATGAATGCCCAAGCAACTTATTTACTAATGTATGATTTCCACTGGCGACCGAACTATTGAAGATGACCTACTTAAAACTTTCTGTGAAATATAACCTTGCTAGGCTAATTCAGTCTGCCAGCGCTGGTGCCACTTACCAAAGTAAAGTCTTGAAGTATGTTTGTTTGTTTTTTTATTCCTATTATATAGCCAACTCCAAAGTGTATAACTGAACCGTGTAATTTGATGCAACTGTGAAAAACATGCACGTTAAAATAAAGAAATGTTGTGCAAGCAAAACCCACAGACTGGTATATTAAAAATCTATGTAATTATAACAAGTGTCTATAGTAGTGTCATAGCAGAAATCCAAAAATAAGAGAGAGTAGTGTAGTCATTTTAGTTTGGTGTTCGTTTATTAGTGAATAGATTAAAAAGTGTGTAATTAATAAGTTATAACATCTAATATTGTATTATTATATGCTGCAGGGAAAGCTGACAGCCAGAGAGAGAGTGGAACTTCTTCTAGACCCAGAGTCCTTTGTGGAGTCGGACATGTTTGTGGAGCATCGCTGCTCTGATTTTGGAATGGAGCAGGACAAAAACAAAGTACAAGATTATTTATACATAACATTTTAGTAAAGATAAAACAATAAAACCATAAAACAATCAGATTAATTTGTATTCTTTTAGTTCCCAGGTGACAGTGTGGTGACTGGGCGAGGCAGAATTAATGGAAGACTTGTTTATGTATTCAGTCAGGTAGAGTGTGATTTTATATATATATATATATATATATATATATATATATATATATATATATATATATATATATATATATTATATATATATATATATATATATATATATACATATTCATGTTTATCTTGTTCTTTCATCTTATATTTTTTACTCCATCAGGATTTTACAGTGTTCGGTGGCAGCTTATCAGGAGCTCATGCACAAAAAATATGCAAAGTAAGATATTGTACTGCAGTGTAATCAATAAGTATGCATGTTGTATGTAAAGATGTAGAATGGATCAATAAACACTTATATTTTCTGTTTAGATAATGGATCAGGCCATGACTGTTGGGGCACCAGTTATTGGCTTAAATGATTCTGGAGGAGCTCGAATCCAAGAGGGAGTCGAGTCTCTTGCTGGTTATGCAGATATTTTTCTGGTACAAACTGTCTACAGATTCATTAAATGCAGCTATATAAATAAACTGAAATTAAAGTAGGATATATTCTGGGTTGCAGTTGAAGGCATATTAATTAAGGAGTGTATTTTTGTTTGGATTTGTTATTCAGAGAAATGTTTTGGCATCTGGAGTAGTTCCTCAGATCTCCCTTATTATGGGCCCCTGTGCTGGAGGAGCGGTCTACTCCCCTGCACTGACTGATTTTACATTCATGGTTAAGGTACCAATCTGAATTTTAGTATAGAGAATACACTTACATAAATGTATACAGCTATTATTTACTAGAAAATTATTTTTCTTCTATATTTTTCTAGGACACATCGTACCTGTTTATCACAGGTCCTGATGTTGTGAAGTCTGTTACAAATGAAGATGTGACTCAGGAGGAGCTTGGAGGAGCGAAAACTCACACCACCGTCTCTGGTTAATTTAGCAGTGTTTTACAATATTGTACATTTTCATCCAAACAAAATTAATCCTCCGGATACAACAGATAGACATACAACAGTTGAATAAAAAATGAAAATATTTTGTCTTTTTAGGCGTGGCTCACCGTGCATTTGAAAACGACATTGATGCCCTTCTAAATTTGAGGGAGTTTTTTAACTACCTACCACTCAGCAACAAGGACCCAGCACCAGTCAGGGAGTGCCATGACCCAAGGTGTGAAGTAAAAAAAAAATGAATAAAACAATTAAAATCTACTAAACTGATCTGAGTGTGTGTGTATATATATATATATATATATATATACTTGTATATACTATACTCAGATCAGTTTAGATCAGTTTATATAATGTGTATGAATATATGTTTGTTGTTTTTTGCAGTGATCGCCTTGTACCATTTTTGGACACAATTGTACCACTTGAATCAACCAAAGCCTATGATATGTTGGACATTATACAAGCTGTAAGTCTTATTTCCATTTGAAATTGGTCAAGTATGAGAACTATACTATATTATAAACATATCACAGATCTAAAATGGAAAAAAAGTCCACAGATGCTGAGCCCAGTTAGTAATGGTGTCTTTTGACCCAGTACTTGACACAGTACTTTATGCAACCACACTAAATCAACATATTAGCAAAATATTTCTTGCTGGTCATCTTGTGAAGGTCAATATAAGCTAGAGATGGAAATGGGACCTAGCAATATACATAGTGCTTTTACAACAGTTGCTAATTGTTCCCATTTGTCTGTCCAGATTGCTGATGAAAGGGAATTTTTTGAAATTATGCCCAACTATGCTAAAAACATAGTAGTTGGATTTGCTCGAATGAATGGACGCACTGTGGGTATGGTGGGAAACCAGCCTAAAGTGGCATCTGGTAAGCCATGATGTAACCAAACAAAATTATTTTATTGTTTAAAGAGCCTATGTTGTAATGTTATTACCTCAAAAGATACCTGGAGCTGTGTTTTGTTTCGTTCACACATGTCTGTCTACATCTTCAAAGCTCAAAATGCTCTGTTCCACTTTTTGATGTCATGTAGTGGTAGTTTTCAAGTTAACACCTACCTTTTACCTTAGGTTCAACTGAGAATGCCAATTCCAGTTCTGAAATTATCCAAATGGTTCTAGTGAAGGTGTATGGCATTTAAAACACAGTGGTGCATTTCCTGTGTTACCACATGACATCTCAAGGTGAAACAGAGTGTTTTCTGTTTGAGAGAAGAACTCATGTTTGTGATGGAGAAGCAACATTATAACATAGATCAGAATAGTGTAATATGGGCCCTTTAATGGCCTCTACAATAATGAGATGTTTATTGGTTGTCCATGCCTTTTTTTTTCAGGTTGTCTGGATATTAACTCTTCAGTAAAAGGAGCTCGTTTTGTACGTTTTTGTGATGCTTTCAACATTCCCATCATCACTTTTGTAGATGTGCCGGGGTTCCTGCCAGGTATTCCTTAAATTTTATTTTATACATTTTATCATAAGCTCCCAGACAATCAATGTAGAGCTGTAGAGCTTGTTCTGCTGCTTACTACTCAAATTATAATATTTGAAAGGAGTTGGCAAATCCAGGTTTCTGTTAAGACAGTTTTGGCACACACTCCTCTCATTGGTCAGCCTTAGTTAAATCCACAACATTCACTCACTCAAATTGCAATTAAATTTAAGAAGTAGATAACTTTAGTGAGTTATTTGTAATTGCTCAAAAATGTAATAAGGTAGTTTTTCACACATAAAAAATAAATTAACCCATAATTAACGGCTATTTTATTGTCTCTTATGTGATGTTTTTCAGGTACAGCACAGGAGTATGGAGGCATCATCAGACATGGAGCCAAACTGTTGTATGCTTTTGCAGAGGCAACAGTTCCCAAAATTACTATAATTACAAGAAAGGTATGAGTATGGTATGAGAGCCGAGTATCAATCTACTGTACACAGACACCACATGAGCTGATGAAAGATGCATGAGCAACCTGTATTTTGCTCTCTTTATGAGGAAGCTGTGGTTACCACAGTGATAGTTTTCTATACTGCTACTATCTTCATACTGGAGAAACAAAATTCTAGCTTTCCAAGTACTTACTTTTGAATTAGTGTAAATCTAATGAGACTGAGACTGGATTGGGACTAAACCACATTAAAAAGGACTCCATTCTTTTTTTAACTAGGACTAAAACTAGACTTGCGAGGTATGAACTAGGATCAGCCCCAATCAAACAACAATAAAACGACCTAAATTAAAATATAGTATAAAGAACTCTCTTATGTACCCATTAATACTCCTTTACCTCTACTTAACAGATGCTGTTTTGATGTTACTATTTCAGGCTTATGGAGGAGCTTATGATGTGATGAGCTCCAAACATTTGAGAGGAGATGTGAACTATGCCTGGCCCACCGCTGAGGTCGCTGTGATGGGGGCGAAGGTATGAACAGTTCACCACAACTAAACATATGCACAGAATACCATACGGAAAAGGTTGGCACAAAACAGATTTATATAGTATTAAACCATAATATAATTAAATCATCAGTTAACATTTTCTTTAAAAAAGGCATAATAACAGAAATGAGTCCATTGACTTCTTGTTCAAAACTGCAAAACCAATACTTGATTCAAGCAATTTACCGTAGCAAGCTGCAGTTATCGATCTATGTGTTTTTTATTTCTGAAAATGAGAAAAAATTGCATTTTTGAACCCTTCACATATGACCTGGAGTCTGTACTTGCTTGCAGTCATTCAAAAGATTCAGAGAAGTTAGATAGGAGGTAGGTGAAAACAACATTGTCCTCAAATACAGGACTGCATTCGAGGACAAACTGAATAAAACTGAATAAAAGTGAGTAAATTAATAAGGGAACACCTTTTTAACTAATTATAATATTGGTTAAAATCCAGTGACATTGCCATGTTATAATTAAATTAATTATATAAATGATTGAAGATTAAAAAAAAAAATAATAATCTTTTTGTGAGATGTTTACATGTTTTGTGAATTTATTTTGTTCTTATCTGTATTTTATTATAGGGCGCTGTTCAGATCATCTTCAGAGGGAAGGAGAACCAGGCTGAGGCGGAGGCTGAATACGTGGAAAAATTTGCAAATCCCTTCCCTGCAGCTGTCAGAGGTGCATCCAAAATTCCCCATATCTTAAATCTTTGAACAAATATTTTCCAAAATCTGTAATTCTTGATCTTCCATTATCATGATGTCTTACCTCCAGGTTTCGTGGACGATATCATTGAGCCAGCTACAACTCGAAAGAAGATTTGCAGAGATCTGGAAGTCCTGGCCAGTAAACAGCAGACTAATCCCTGGAAAAAACACGCCAACATTCCTCTATAAAAGACACAAGACTGTTTTAGCGATATTACAAAGCACTGGAGTTGACTGACTTCTTTCATGTTATGGACTGTAGAGTATGACTGCACAATATGAGAAACATATGCAATATTTGATCATTAGGTTTTGTATCACAATATTGCAGTATTTAAAGGGCCTATAGTACAGTACAGTAGTCAATTTCAGGGCTGAAATTATTGAAATTATTCTAGTGAAGGTGTATGGAGTTTAAAAAAATAGTTGAGCACTTCATGTATTACCACATGACATCACAAGGTTGAACAGCGACTTTTCGTTTGAGAGAAGAACTCTGCTTAAACATGCAGGATTTATGTGTTGTTTACTAGTCAAAATAAAAACTTGAGTCTAAGCCAAGGCCAGTCAATATTGTGATATGAATGTTGTAAAGGTGTATAAGTTGTGCAGTCCTACTGTAAAGGTGCTATTTGTAATTTATGAGTTTGGACCCTAAATTGAGCAAGAATCTTCTTGGACTTTTGAAATACTACTCCACTGAAAACTGAGAAAGCATTAAACGGATTAAAATTTTATGTATCCTCAAGATATCAGAATGTATCAGTGATAATGTCAGAAAAGTAAAGATTGGGAGCAACTTGAGAAAATGCTAAGTTGTGGCCCTATTGGTTGCCGTTTATGAAAATGGTTGTCCCACCTGTACTGTATGTCTTTTTATAAGTCTTTGCTTTCAGATCCTCTGTTTAACCTAATATGGTCACAAAACTTAACTGTGCCTTTTAAATGATCAACATCTACTTTTCTGTGTAATAAATGTATCTTGATTACAACACTATAAACCTGAAGCTGTTTTTAATATGGAGGCTATGATGATTGTAATAAGAATTGACTAACTTCAGATTGTAAACTGCAGAAATTTCTAGTTCATGTTCTTAAAATAACACAAAATAATGGTCACTTGATTGCTACGAACCCCACATTGAGGTAAGTTGGTACACGTTTTTTGTATTTTGCCAATTATAGGTACCACTTGACACTTGCCTACCACAGCTAAAAGATTTATTGGGTAAGTGACCAACATCACTTCAAAGCTTCATCTCTCTCCTGTTCACTTCCTAAAACAAACAAAATACTCAACTCTTTTTCACACGTTAATGCACATCTGTTTACTTTACCTTTAGTTTCATTACTGTGTTCACGAGGCATGCTCCCGTTGTCATGACAACAGTCCTGTTGATACGTTACATCTGATATCATCATCATTTCCTGGGGGTGTGATGCTAACTATAGGCTCTGCTCTCTCTGAGGCTTTATTAAAATAGCCCAGATTCAATTCTAACACAATCTGACCACAAAGAGCTGATTTAGTTGGAACTATAGGAGGTGAGACGTGCTGTTAAACGAATCTTGCACACATAAAATTTGTTGAAGCTAACTTGCATTTGTCAAGTTTTTCAGTTGGCCACTTTCACCTTTTTCTTTTTTGTGGCAAATCAAACACCTAAACAGGATCATGAATGCGAGTGTTGTTTTCAGACAATATTAAAGTGTTTTTGAAAGTGTTTGCTAATGTGTGCATTGTGTCTCCACTGAACATTCCACCATAGGGGCACATGTCGCAAACCCCCCAATGTAACATCACTGGAAACCATCAAGAGTCTGGGCTTTTTAGGGAGGTGGTGTAAAACCTGCTTAACTAAAATAATAGAAAATCAATATAAAGCACACTCACAGCAATGTTCAATAAACTGATTACAGATTTTATTTTTATTAAAAAGAATTTAGGCTTAAACAAAAACAGGCTTTAAGAGCTTTTGGAGCGACTTGGTGCCAACTCAACTGTCTCCTGATATTTACAGGGTGACCGCCGCGCAGCCAAATCCAACCAGGCCTTGATTGGTTTAACAATGAGCGAATAATGATATGGACACATTCAAACAAGCCATAGAGACCCATCACTGCACTGATATACGAACATCAGATTAAATAACACTGCTGTAGGAATCAAATCTGTGAAATACGGTCAATTTGAACTTAAGTTTGTGAACTGCATACAATCAAAACCATACAGCGCTGTTAATCCTATAGCATGAAATACAAATATGAGGGAATATGTAGGCCACAAGGTTTGGCAATGAACGAGATAATACATATCAAGAAAAGCTGTACAAACATCAGACAAAACAAAAACACTTAAAACTTTTTGTACTAAAGCTACTGATTTTAAAATATGTTTATTGTCTTTTATATTTTACTTAAAAACTTGAACAGGAGGGGTGTGCCGAACTGAGATGTAAGAGTGAGGGGGGCTGTCCAACTAGTCCAAGGCCATTGCATCATTCACTCCATATTGGCCCATAGCAGTGCATGTGTAACTGTCCACTAAACAGTCAGGGCTGCACAATATCTTACTCATTTGACAAAAAAAATTACTAAAAATAAGTAGATTTACTGGGTTGCTCGTTTAGGATTAAATAATATGATTATTTAAAGGTGCATTGCGCAACTTTTGGTGGATGTTCCGCTACCTGCTTGTCTCCATGGAGATGTTATTGCTTTGCCTGGAATGTTGCCATGGTATGACATTAAATATATCCATCTAGCATTTGTTCATTATGGGTGTTTCTGCTGCTCAAACATACAACATTGCTTGTCTCCCTCATGACAGATAGGTTTAATCTATACTGTGGAACATTCTAGACAAAGCAAAAACATTTGATGGAGAGAGTGGCTGACACTCCACTACAAATGTTACGCACCTTTACACAACTATTTATGTACTGCCAGTTTTTGCACATGTAGAGGAAGCCGTCAAATCATTCAGTTTACTTCCATCTGACACAACTGTAAAATTCAAGTGTGTTTAAAAAAAGGTTGAGTTTTCATTTAGTTAAAAAAATCTGCTTAATTAAAGTTTAATATTTGACAACGCTTGACTAAAGCAATTTACTTTTTTTTTTCTAATATTAAATGAAATTTCCCATGTTAAAAAGCTATTTTTCAGTCACATTTCCTGTTGAAGATATGACCATTCAAAACCAGATACTAATCGATACTAAAATGGATGACTATTTATTATTTTTAATTGCTAAAGGTGCACTGTGTAAATTCTCTGGTGGAGGGTCCATCACCTGCTTGTCTCCATGGAGATAGAATATTCCACAGTACAGCTATAAATTTAAGAATCTCTATGAAAGCTTCTAAGCCAAATTACTGATTAGACTTGTGGAAGTGACCACAGTCAGTGAGAATTAATGTTTTAAAATAGTTTTGAGCATTAAGTAGCACCTGTAGTTGAATAAATACAAGACAGATTGGTTTAATATCATACGGTGAACAATTTAAACCCAAGCATTAACATCTCCATGGAAACAAACAGGTTACAGACCCTCTCCAGAAAAGTTACACAGCACACCTTTAATTGCTATGACAACAGTCCCATTTTTTCATCACTTCAAAGGTATTACAATATCACAACAATCATATAATTATAGAATCTACCATTTTTTCATGTTATATTGTGCAACCCTAATCATGACCTTAAACAGCACTATTGCACTCAGACAGGGGAGCAGAGGGAGATGAGTGGGGATAGTAAGAGCAAAGATATACAACATTTAGTAGTGATCCTCTATGTCGAACCAGGCGGATCGAAGTGCAACACCAAAACTGGGATCTGTACAGTGAGTTCATGGTCCAATCCCAAAAAAACTGTACACCCGGTTAGCTGGAGGAACGGCTGAAAATACTGTGGACCAAAAGCGCCTTCGAAGCTAACTGCTAACACGCTAACAGGCTGAGCAGACAAGAACACGGCTCCCACATCATCCCATGTTTGAAATGTGGATGATGTACTTTGTTTCCGAGGAGAGGGACCAGCCAACGTTGGATAAACTTCACAAATGTCCATCGACAAAGAAAGAAGATTCAACAATGTTTTTCTTCTTTGTAGCTTGATTGACAGGTGTCAGTCAGACGTCCCAAAACCGTTTAGTCCTGATTTGAATCCTGATTATAATATCTCTGTATTTTTACCAAATCAGAACATCTGCATGCTGAATCCCTGCAAGAGAGAGAGAGAGAGACACAGGAAAATTAAGATCAAATTTTTTTTAAAATCTTTAAAGGTACATTTTATAACTTTTGGAAGGTCTGTCAAATGCTTTTCTCCATGAAGATGTTATCGTTTTGTCTGGAATGTTTCACAGTATGGTATTAAACCTTTCAATCTTTATGGAGACCAAACAAGATCAAGTTACAGGTCAGATCTGTGGAGAAGGCAACCCCTCTCACAGTCAGAATGCCTGTTTTTCTATGTATTTTTGAGCTATAAAACCTGTAATTGAATAAATGAGTAAAATAAAATAAAAATAATTTAAAAGAGCTGTTTAATGTCATACTATGGAACATTCCAGGCAGAGCAATGACATAGCCATATAAATAAGCGGGTAACGGACCCCCAACCAAAAACTTACATAGTGCACCTTTACATATAAATCAAAATAAAAGTTGTAAAGGTTCTTGGTTAAATTGTGTGGAAAAATATTGAAAACTACAAACCGATTCATCTTCAATCATGGCGGCTGAATCAAAGAAGTCCGGTCTTAGTTCTGCTCTTTCCCGTCTGTTTCTGGATGGGGGCTGAAAATAAATAAACAAGTTTACAATAAATGAATAATGGACACTGTGATTTAATTGTCCTGCCCACTAACTGAAGTTTAGAAAATTAGAAGCAGGAACAAAACAGTTGGGGACAAGACATGCTTTCTACCCAATACATCTATTTAACAAAAAATATTGCATGACATCTGCATTTTTTTTACAGTTGTGATGTACCAGGTCATGGTGGCTGAAAAGGAGTAAATATACCATTTAATAAGAATTTATACATTTTTAAGCTTCTCTAATGTCACTGTATCTGAGTTGTCAGATCAAACCATTTTTGTTTTCTTTTTACATCCGATGTTCTTCCCTTTAAACCACAGATATATAAAGTCTATAATCAAGACCAGACTGAAACCAGGACAGTGCATCTTACCAGGTCGATGACCATAGTGTCCTCAAACTCCTCGTTCATGTCCTCCAGCTGACCTCTCGAGGACATCATCACGTCTTCAAAGATCGGCTCTGCGTCGTCCTCCATCAAACCGCGCCTGAAAGAGAAAAAAATAAATACATTTTCCTTAACAGCAAGAAAATGTCTGAGATTTTAATACAATGTGAATGACAATAAACTAAATCTTTTCACTTACACTGTCTGCCGCACGCCCTGATTGCTGCGTGACTTGATGTAGTTCATTCCTGATCGGTCCTTCCTGTTCACCTCCTCCATCTTCTGCTGTCCGAGCCACGACATCTGCATCTGAGGACTAACCACCAAAAAAGGTTGCAGGTATAATTTACTCACATGCAAAGTTGAAACTAAATAGTTGGAAGGAGGAGACAATATCACAAAAATTGTATTACTTAAATCTGTGAATTTAACATAAAACTTATGTTATAATGTTTTTAAGTGCAAAGACCAGTGAAATATTGTTAGGTAGATTCAACTGCATATTAGACTTACTATTGATTTCAGATACTCACTTGTGTACATAGTCGTTCTCTGACCCTGGCTCTGAGTCTGGGTCTGCCATGTGTTCAGCTGGTCTGTTCTCTCTGAGCACTGTCGACGTGAGCTGAGGAGTCTGCAGTGCCCCCGGTGTCGGTAGAGTGTCATTACGCATCATCCACGAGCCCTCCACGCTGCTTTCCTCTGAAAAATAAAATCACAACCGTAAATCATTTCTTCTTTAGTCTGGTGCTCAGAGATCAAACTTATATATCGGTGACATTTTCCCTATATGGATATAAGAGGGGCTAACAGGCCGAATTTAAAGTAGCCTCACCCAAATTCTACTCCCTCTTCCTCCCTTTGTCCACCCCATCCCACTCATTTTACTGATTGCCATTATGTTAACTTTGTCCCTGCTTATATGTAAATAGTCAAATAAATAAAAAATTATGATAGTAAGTTTTTTAAGTAGTCTCACCCTCTATGCGTTTCTTATGCAGAGGCGGCCGTCCCTTCTTGCTGCGCACTGATCCTGGTTTGCTGCTGGACCCAGAGGTGACGGACATGTGGTCCTCGTCTCCTCCCGTCAGGAGACTGTTCCTGTACGAGATCAGAGGAAGCCAGATGTCCTCCCGCCGCTCAGACATTGACTCAGACATGAACTTCTCCAGGTATGAGTGGCTGAGGAGACACAAGGAATTAACATCAAATGATGTCTGGAAAAGGTTACTCAAAAACAGCAGGGTTAAGAAAAAATGATACATAATTGATATTAAAACTAGTATTGAAACAGGCTTAGTTGGACATTTTCTGAATATTCTGAATAGAGCTAATACTATAGTAACCTCAATTATTTTGTCTTGAAAATTACATTATATTCATTATATGGATTGAAATCTAGTGTAAAAATTTGTATTTCAGTATCATGACAACATCAGCCAATGGAGAGCAGTGTCATTTTGGCAAATTCTGATTTCTGAATCTTCTTGATTCAAAACACTGTCAATCATTGAAGTTTTAATTTCAAAGTACGAAAAAGTTAAGATAAAATGCTGTTTATTTCTAAAAGTTTGACATATTGAGACAGGACTCATGGTACTTACACAGTCTTTTTGTCTTGGCGGATGAGTTTCGAGGAGAACTCACTGAGGACCTCAAGGAAGGCCAAGTTTATTGGGGGAAACTCTGGTCCTCTAGGGTTCTGGTACTTGAAGGCAAACTCGATCCCATCCCTTTAACAGGAGAACACAGGTTTAATAACTAATTAAAACAGAATATATTTATGTTTTATTGCTCATAAATGTATTAAACCCTGCATACACTATACTTAAAGAGCTTATATTGCACAGTTTTCTGATCTGTAATGTTGTTTCCTTCTCAAAAACATATCTGGAGTTGTGTTTTGTTTCATTCACGCATGTTAAACACACACACCCTGTATATTTAGGCTCAGAGAGATTTCTCTCAAACTAAAAACACTCATACATGAAGGGCTCCACTGTATTTTTAAACTCCATACACCTTGACTAGAAAAATTTTGATTATTTTTGCAGTCAATTTTGCATAGTGTAGGACATTTAAATTTAACATATCTTCAACACAATCTTTCAACATGTACTTAAGTGTTTTTTATCTGTCTTACTTGTGCAATGTGGCCACAGCCTCTCTGGTCTTGATCTGGTCCAGACCGAAGGTGAGGGCGAAGCGGCGGGCAAGCTCTTTTATGCCACTCACATGAGATGACGTTCGGTCCAGGTTTGGGCCCTGGTCCTGCAGCAGCTCATTGAACAACTGCAACAGAAACAAGTGCTCAGTGATAAAGACAATCAAAAAGCTTGTCTAACAAAGCAATCAGACTTATATATTATGACTAACTGCAGAGGGCAATGTCGGTGAAGTGTCTTGCCTAACAGTAACTAGTAAATTTTATTCTGTCAACTGAACAAAAGTAATTTTGCCACTCATCCAAGTAGCTTCTTCAGTTCTGCAAGGTTTTGATTCTGGCTTGTATATCTGTCTGGAGGGAGGAGGTACTAAACTGAAACTAACACCCCCTAGTTTTTTACAGTAACTGTTATTGAACTATACTATATTTATACTAACTACACTTACAGTAGGAGTGATTAAATTTTCTTCCTCCAAACATCAAATCAAATCTCAAATTTAATTTAGTTTGGGCAATTTGGACCAATGCAGGAGTGTATGTGTATGTAAATGTGATACTACAAAAAGGTGTTATATGTTTGAAGAGCAAGTTTATTCAAATTGCAACTATTCATACTACTGAACTATTCATACTACCAATAGTACTAGTACTTTCTATCTCACCTGTTGCAAACTGAGGATGAGTGTCTTTGCACAGAGAATCTTGTCAGTCTGCCTGGTTTTACTCAAAGTCTCCTTGATGATGTCTCCGTAGTCGTTGTAATACTGTAATAGGGAGAAAAGATAAGATATAAGCATACACTAGTGCTTCTAAAAGGATAATGTATGTTTAAATGACATGATGATGGCATTTGGACCCACCTTCATGTAGTGTTTGAAGATGTCAGCGGCTGCGGGCATGTCCACAATGTCGTAGATGATGAGTTTACAGAACGCAGCCAAGAGGTTTCTTCTTTTGTGAAGAGCCTCGATCTTGTTGGCTTCATCCTCCTCGTCTCCCTCTGTAAATAAACATTACAAAATCACAAATACTTCAATTTTATTACAATCCACAGTAGTCATTTAGTAGACATTTTCACATTTGCAAAGCTAAAACATTACGCATAATTATCTTAAGCCCCAAAGAAGACCTCCATAAAGCACATTGGCGTCTCACTTACAATAAAGGACATTTATTTTTACAATCAAAGTGCCTTGGACATATTATTTAAGCTCTGTATGACATATTGTGTTAAGTAATGAGAAGTAAATAAATCAGTAAGATCAGATGTTAATTATATAAAATTTTTATTGTTTCTTTGTTTGCTTTTTCTTCAGAGTTTAAAGCAAAGTTACCAATTAATTTGGTACTTTGATTAAAATAGTGACACATTAATAAAAATAAAGCAATTTCAACTTCAAGTGTTTTAACATAACCATAAGCTTTAATGATCATTTTTCATCACTCCATCATCCATAGATAAACTTGCTTAACATTACATAGTGATTTGACCCCCTCCTCTGCCTCACCCATGCTCTGGCTCTCGTCATCCTGGTCAATGAAGACGTGGTCTAAGACAAAGTTGAGCAGTTCGTTCTGGAGGGTGCTGTCGGGGTTAAAGACGAGCGGCTGCAGCCCCTCCCTGCCCCCTGACACCAACTGATGACTGAAGATCATCAGGAGGTCACACAGCAGCATGAACGCCTGCAAAGGAGAAAAACAGGTTTGATAAAGGTCCGCAAATGTGACTCTTGTGTTTTGTTTCATTCACACATGTTTGAGTAACCCTTTATTGTTAGTCTATCTACATCTCCAAAGCTGAAAATGCTCTGTTCCACCTTGAGATGTTATGAAGCAGTAATTTTCAAATTAACAGCAGCTTTTACCTTTAGTTCAGCAGAGATTATTAGAAATGATTCAACTGATTCTAGTCAAGGTGTATTTTAATAATTTCAGACAGGAAATTGCCAATCTCTACTGAACAAAAGCAGTTAACTTGAACACTACTGCTTCATGACATCACAAGGTGGAATAGAGCATTTTGAGCTTCGGAGATATAGACAGAGTCAAACAAGTGTGAACTGAAACAAAACAACTCACAAAACAACTCACATACTCCAGGTATGTTTTTGACTCCCCATTGTAACATGGCTAGAAGCTCACAAGAGTCAATTTTGTGTAATATAGGAAGTTTAAATAATTAGAGATCCAAAAATCAGATAATACTCAGATTATGGCATGCATGTAAATGAAACCACAGACATAGAAGTATTACCTGCTCTTTGACTGGGGTGTTGACGTTGGACAGACACTGTTGACACACAGCCAGGAAGGACTTCACCACTCTCCTCAAGGCCACCAGATCATCCTGCATTAGAAATATTAACATGATCAGCCAAGCATCAGAAAGCTCACGCTTCACTGGAGATCAATATTAAACAGATGAAGCATTCAAGGACATGGCCATGCTCGGGATAACTGCAGTAATTACCTGATCAAACTTTAATGAATAGAGCTATTATACAACCTAATCTATTACTTACAGAACACAATAGGGGCCTAACTGCAAAACAAGATGAGCGGCTCTGAGTTGCAATGAGCTGATGGGTTGAGTTTTCTTACTTCTATTAAAGTTGTTGGTTTGAAGGAACTGTTTATACAATTTAGAATTTAAATTCTATGAAGTAAACCAAACCAAGCTTTTACTGATAATAATTGTAATGCTTAAAAACAAGTGCAACAAGAATCAAAGTTAAATAAAAGACATAATGGAAGAAATTTGAATACTACAATGATCACAACAAATTGGTGAACATGGAGGAGCACTCTGAATTACCACTTGTCAATGGCTTTCTGACTTAACAGTCAGAACATGTCTCTGAGTTCTTTATATTACATTTAGTGTATTGTACCTTGGTGGGTGCCCCCTCTGTGATCTTGACGAGTTGCCACAGGATGGAGTAGTGCGAGCACTGCAGCGCCTGGACCGCGATCTGCTCCGGCATCGAGCCCTGTTCGATGCCCGCTTTGAGTAGACGGTAGCAATTTCCAAACAAGTCCCAGCGTGTTAAGTCATGGGCGCTAAAAAGACAAGTGATTATATGATTATAAGAATGTACTGTGTGGTTAGACAGCTAGTAGTTGTTTCAATAATTGTATTTTTTATACTTACTTATGAAAGGCTGTGAGTCTCTTTAGAGTAGATAAAACATTGTAGATGTCATCGTCGTCAGCCTCCTCAGCCTGTAAGAAACACAGAAGTTTAAAACTCTCCACTTAAAACTGTAGTAGTTGGACTTCTATCGCAATATTAAAGATGCACTATGTAACTTTTCTGGTGGAGGGTCTGGCACCTTCTTGTCTCTACGTAAATTTAATTGCTTTGCCGTGAATGTTCTACAGTGCAATATTAAAAGTATCTCCATAGACAAGCAAGTGATGTCACACATAAGAAGTTACACAAGAGATCTGTGGA